TGAAACAGGTGTATGCCAGTTAACCAGACCTAGGCCAGCTCCTGGTCTCATGAAGTGACTACTTTAAATATCATTTGTTGCTTCTGAGTCTTTATGGCTCTGTTTCAAACTTACAACACATGGATTTTCTTAATGTTGGACTTAAATTACTTCCAAGAGCTTTCATAGTCAGATAAATGCTGATGGAAAAATTAGAACTGAGTTGAAATCCTCTAAAAGGCCACTGTGATAAATATTGTGACTGAGCCCTCTGCTCCATAGTTTGTGGACAGGCTGAAGCGCCATACCAAATGAATATGTCTGTGTTACCATTGCCAAGTGCAATGTTTCCCAATAAAATCGAGAAAAGATGAAGAATCTTCGGGTGAGTGTTTGGCAGAATAATAATAATAATAATAATAATAATAATAATAATAATAATAATAATAACCTGGATCTTCCAAGTTGGTTGTGTCCCAGAGATAGTATGTTTTCTACTAATGCCTTTTGTGTTTCAATAGTAGATCATGATGACCTCGGACAAAGAATCCAGGGACTGAAAGATACAATTTCCCAATCGCCTTCAAATACTAAGGAAGAGGAAATATGTGGGGAGCCACTCTGAATGATCCCCCGCCTTCCAGTCCTGAAGCAAGAGGCTCTGACTGATCACTACATCAACCCCTGAAACTCTCTCTCTCTCTCTCTCTCTCTCTTTCTCGTTCTCTCTTTCTGTGATCCCTTAAGGTCAGAGGAGACATCATAGAACCCCCAAAAAAGGTATCAGGCAGCCTGGAGGGAGATGTGGGGCAAAGTTGGGACTAGTTTGCTCATTACATTTCCTGATCTGGGTCTCAGGTGCGTAGAATTGGACATTTTTAAATTTTTTTTTTCTGATGACCTCTACCTTTGGATAGGATTGCTCAGTCAATTCCCATGTAATGTCACTGTTGATGTTGTTAGATTTATATCTGCCCTTTTACATTCTATTTTCTTATGTCTTTTTTGAGGAGGGTGGGGACTGGGGATTGAACACAGGGGCACTCAACCACTGAGCCCCATCCCCAGCCCTATTTTGTATTTTATTTAGAGAAAGGGTCTCGCCAAATTGCTTAGGACCTCACCATGGCTGAGGCTGGCTTTGAACTCACGGTCCTCCTGCCTCAGCCTCACAAGCTGCTGTGACTTGAAGTGTGTACCACCATACCTGGCCCTCTGAAGTACATGCCCTGAACTACATCTCTATTGCAAGTTTTATTTTGAGACAGAGTGAAGCTAAATTGCGGAGGCTGCTCTAGCAGGTTACTGGTCTATATTTTTTTTGTTGTTTGTTTTGTTTTGCTGTTTGTTAATGAAGGTTTCTGATTTTTTTTAGAGAAAATGAACTCATTATAGAGCTGGGACCTCCTGAGAAACTGAGGAAGTGAAAAGACCCCCTTGAACCCTTGATTTTTGCAATCACATCAGAAAGTTTTCAGACATGTCGCCCTGTAACAGGCATGAACTTCTTGAAGGGGAAGGGGACATTCTCAAGGGCGAGAGTGGGTCCTGTCAGAAAGCAGACAGACCCTGTGCATCTTCTGCACTCTAGTTTTAATGGAGTCCCTGGAAAATTTCCAGAGAGTCCTGCCCAGGTGCACTTTTGGACTCTTGACAGCAGGGTGACATCATACTTTCAAGTCTCAACGGTCATGGCAACTCTATGTCACCTTGGCCCACGCTGAGCCATTCTAATTGGATCCTTATCCAAAGAATTATCCTTTCTTCCAAAATCTGGTCTGTGGAAAGAGTCACAAAATCTGTCCCTGCATAGTCACTTGGGTTTCTCTTAGGGGGTTTCCTGCCTGCATTTCTCATGCAGATCACAGGTAGTTTTCTGAGGAATGTGACACCTCTTGTCCACTTAGGCCAGGCAGAGTTGCAGGTAAATTGCTTTTTGGAAAAGAATGAATGTGCTGGTCAGCACGGTGGGCCCATTTTACAGGATTATTCTCTTAACCGTCTGCTCCCACCATTCTTGGGTGGGTTCCCTAAAAGACTAAGAGACACAGGTACAGAAAAAGCACCGCTTTCGCTGAGAGTCTTTCAGGATGGAACATCTGGGCGAACAGGCAAGTTGCAGTCAGCATTCTATCCTCTGGTTCACAAGGGTCCCCGCTTCCCACCCCAGTTCCTCTTTGGCAAAGTACTATGGGGTGCACCAACTTCCAGATCTTCACCTGGGTTTCCCTGTGTCCCACTGGGCTGTTTAAAGAAGCATGCTGCAGGGCAGAGGGGCACATGCCTGAAATCCCAGTGGTTTGGGAGGTTAATGCAGGAAAACTTCAAGTTGGAAGCCAGCCTCTGCAGCTTCAGGAGGCCCTAAGCCACTTAGCCAGACCCTGTGTAAAATAAAAAAAGAGCTGGAAGTTTGGCTCAGTGGTTAGGCAGCGCTCAGTCAAATCCCTGGTATCAAACCCCCCACATATTTGTATATAAAGCAATACACCATTAGTTGTCCCCAACTCCCTTTGTCCTTTTGTGCCAGGAAAGTCTTCTTGGATTGAGTGCATCTTGGACGTAGACACTTTTGACTTTACCTGAATCAACACTGTTTCTTTCTCTCTTGGTCACGGTGACCCCTCCCCTACCTCCTGTGTGTCCAGGGTGGTTCAGGTGCACGGACTCGGGATCTGCCACATCCACAGTCTGAGGCTGTACACGTGACTCTCCATTTTGCTCTCCTTGCCCTCAGGTTGCCTTTCTTACGAGTCAATTCTACATTTAAGGAAAATACTATATTCTCATACCCAGCCATGTTTGGTATTTTATTTAGAGTCAGGCTCTCATTGAGTTGCTTAGCACTTCAATTTTGCTGATGCTAGATTCGAACTAGCAATCCTCCTGTCTCGGCCTCCTGAGCCTCTGGGATTGCAAGCATGAACAACCATGCTTGGTCTAACCTTCTTATTTATCAATTTCTTCATTTGATTGATAGTAGGTTGGAGTCACCATCTGGACTCTCAGGCCCATTACAGTTTTGCTCACACCCACCTTCTCTGAACCACATAAAAGGGATGCTCAGTGGCAAAGTGCCCCTGCCCTCAATTCAATCTCTACCATGGGGGACAATAAAGGCACCTGGAATTCAATTCTCAGCCCTGGGCAGCTATGTGTCCACTTTTCCACACCTGTGGAAATAGGACTTTTTACACAATAGCCCCCCACCCCCCCCCAGTCCATGGGCAATATTGTTAGGTAGAATGAACTTGGGCCAGTGAGCAGGATGTGAAAGACTTCACAAAGCCCAACTTGAGAGTAGAGAATAAAATTGTACTTAATTTCCAACAGGGGGATAGACATGACAGGCAGTATTGGCCCCAAGTGGCAATTTTTTATGGTTCATATGCAAGGTTAATGGGCCCAGCTGAGCAGGGATTTGGTTTCTTTCTGGTTGGACTATCAGTTGAAACCCAGGATGCTGAGAGTGCTGGGTCAGCTACTGGAGATACGTTGCTTCCTAGGGCTTGTGGCTTTTCTTGAAAACCTTGACATGGAAAGAATACACTGGAGGGGGACTTCCTCCTGACAAAGTGAGGTCAGTCTGTGCAATGGAGTGACATGTGTCAAGGGGGCAAGTGAGTGTGAGCTCACAGACAAGTTATAAGACCACAGATGCCTGAAGCTTAAATCCTACAGATAATACTAAATCCTAGATACAATTTCCCCTATCCATACATGCCTATGATTACCCTTTCTATAAAATCTCAAAGTCCTTGTCAGCATCTGAAGACAGGGTAAGGACAGGGTTTCCTTGTCTTCCTGGTGTAGCTGCACTGGTCAAAGTTTCTTTCCTGCTTTGCATCATAACCTTTTCTGTTTGGTTTTGGATGAACACCTGACCAGACCTGTGGGGTCAGCAGAGTCACATCTCTGCAGAAGGCTTCCTAACAGTCGAAGTAGAACATCTACACTAAGCACAATGCACCCATTTTATTTCCACTGCTCATTGCTGCCCTAGAGGATTGCCCTCCTTCCTCCCCCACCCTTTCTGCTGGGGATGGAGCCTTGAGCATCAGAGCCAAATCCCAATAGCTTCCTTTCATAGATCAGGAGCCTCCTCAAAGCAACAGAGGCCAGGAGGTGAGGAGAATTACTAAATAGTTTTCAAATTGTTTTCAGTTTTAGGTATTATATATGGGTCATATATATGATATCTTTAAATAGTGTTTCAAAAATTTGGAAAGCTTGTCTTTCTAAGTTGCTTGAGGTCGCATCAGCTGGGGAAAATATATATATATATATATATATATATATATATATATATATATATATATATATAATATACTGATTAGACGTACTTGGTGTGAGAAATATATATATTATATATAAAAATATATATATTATATGTATAAAATATATAAAATATCTATTTTATATATAGAACATACTATATAAAATACATATTATATATGAAATATATATAATATATATATTTTATAAAATTATATAATATATATTATATATAATAAAATATCGTACTTTCTTTTTTAAGGTACTGGGGAACAAACCCAATGGGGCTTGATCCCGACCTCTGAGCTCCATCCCCATCTTTTCATTTTAAGAGAGGGTCTCACTGTTTGCAGATGCAGACCTGACCTTGGGCTCCTCCAGCCTCAACGCCCTGGAGAAGCTGTGCTTTGTTTTTGTGTTGAGGTTAAACCCAGGGCCTCCTCATGATCCCAAAGCACTCTATGGCTGAAGCTTAGCTCAGCGCCAGCTGTCACCTGTGTCCCAGAGGCTAAGCCAAGGCTTCTCACCTGGATTAGTTCCCAGCACAGCCGGGAAGCTCCTCCTGAAGAGGGCTGGGGCCAAGGATCTGTCACTCTACCCAATTTCAGCCAGTGATTGGATGATGTTAGCTGTCAGTCACGATGCTGAGGCGGGCCTGGAGGCCATCCATCCGGGTCGCTGGGGGGAACTGTCCAATCAGTGCGCAGAGGAAAGGGAAGGGCGGGCTTCCGCAAGCTCGCGGGCTTTTCTTCCTCATCGACTGGGTTACTCCTGCTCCAGGCCCCGAGTTCTCTGCTCCAGGGACCCAGGTGACTGCGCTGCCCGTTTCTCGGGGATCTCGGGTGCCCGGAGTTTCCTCCAGAGGACGTCAGGTCACCAGAGAAGCTAAAAATGGTGAGTTCGCGGAAGGTAGGCGGTCAGCACCGGCCTTGGGGCCCGGCGGGCGGGTGAGCTGCCGAGTGCCGGCGGAGTCGCCGCTGTCGGGTGGCCCTGGGCCCTGTCCCCTGGTTCCCTGGGTTTGGAAGGGAGGCTCAGCTCCCAGGTGTCCCCTTTGCTCCCTACCTGTGTCCCGCACTCACTTTTCCCAACGTGTAGGAAGCAGGGCCACAAATGCACCTTCCTTCTCCCAGTGGAGCTCCCCCCAGTGGAGGTCCTCCAAATTGCAGGCGCCTCCTGCCTTCTAAAAGGCCACCTTCCCTCCACCCCACAGCTCGGCCAGACATTCCTTCTTCCCACTCGTTTCAAATAGACACCGTCTGCTAATTGTCATTATCGCTTAGTGAATTATTGGAAAGAATCAATCAATCTTCATTCCCCCCTCCCTTCCCCTCCCTCCCTCCCCCCTGCCTTCCCCCCTCCCTTCCCCCCTCCCTTCCCCCCTTCCATGTGTTTTGGAATCTGGGCTGGCCTCCAACTTGTGATCCTTCTGCTTCAGCCTCCCCGCCTATCTGGGATTACAGGCTTGTGCCAATGTCCCTGGGAAGAAGAACACTTTTGAAAGCATTTGTTTTCTATTTGTGAATATTATCCTTGAGGGGAAAGAATGATCACTTAACACTTCCTTGTGTTTGGTCAAAATAACTGCTTTAAAGGGAATAAGGGGGTTGTTTATAGATCCCAGGGATATGGAATCCTGGGCTACATCAATCGAGTATAACTGCTCCCTTTTCTGAGAGTCCATGATGTAGAGTCACACCAGTCCTGTAGTTAGGTAAGCACACGGGGTAATAATGATGTAGGGACAAAGGAGGTAAGGCGCTAAGGTAGCTGGAAACAGTTTTATTTGGCTACAGCCAGTCTCAGAGGGCACTGCTTTTGCTGTAATGAATCCATCCATCCCCTGAACCCCGAGTTCAGGTGGTTTCAGAATTTTATTCCCATCATGTAAGGGGAGGGGCTCAGAAGTTCACATTGTAATACCGGGACCCCCAAAGAACTCTCAGACCACACAGTCTCATTCCAGTTAAGCCTTTGTTGGTGGCCAGTGACAGACACTCTGCTCTCGAAAGAATGAGATGGTCAGAGTGGTGCCCCTGCCTTCAGTTGGCTCCATATTTAAGCACAAAAACCAGAAAAGGGAAGTTTGGGGGTTCAGGCAACGTAAGCAAGCCTGAAAGTTGTGGTCAAGTAGTCTCCAGTTGGCCCCATAGATCACTCTGTGTTCTTGGGGAATTTTCATGAACAAAAGAGTCCAAACTGCACCAGTCATGAGCTTTTTGAGTGTCATAGCTGAGTTCACAAAGTGGAGTCACCGTAGTCAAGCTGTCACATCACACACATAAAAGCAGGTTTTTCTTTCTCTGTTCTGGCCAAGTTAACCCTTCAAGGACAGCACCTGAGGAGGGGAGAGCTTCTTCTCCCCTTTCTTTCCTTCCCCACCAGCTGTTACCATGGAGCCCAGTTGGTGACTTCTCTGTGAAACCCAGCTCAAGGCCAGAGGCCTTGTTTGCACTTTTCTACAAACTACTATACTGGATACAAGTGTGTGAAAAACTAGGAAAGGGGAGTCCAGCACCTGGAGTGCTGATTTCTTCCAGACTAGCAGCCCAGTAAAATAGGGCAACACAAAAATAGGAAGTTTATCTACACTGAATTTTTTTTGTGGACACTCTTTTGTTGACAGTCCTAAAATTAGCCATGGTGAAGATTTCTGGAGAAACCCAGTTAATTTTTTTTTTTGTGAAAAAAGGGGATGCCACTGTAATAATGTCTGATTCCTTGACTGTCCTTCATCCCCAGCTGTTTTCAGTATGATTTTCAGAAAGGATCTGGCTATGGTGCCCAGCTAGGCCTGAAAATTGTGATTCTCCTGCCTCTGCTTCCCAATCTGTTGGGTTTAAAGGCATCGACAACCCCAGCTACAGAAAATAGTTCATTTTAACCCAAATATTAATTACCATACTAAGGAACATGGATTCAAGTTACCCTGAATGATGTGTGTGTTCCTCTCTGGAAGAGATTACATCACTTCTTTTTTTCTTTCTTTTTCTTTATTTTCTTGCCTTCCTTCCTTCCTTCCTTCCCCTTCCTCCCTCCCTTCCTTCCTTCCTTCCTTCCTTCCTTCCTTCCTTCCTTCCTTGCTCATACCAGGGATTGAACCCAGGGGCACTTAAACACTGAGCCACATCCCCAGTCCTTTTTATATTATATTTTCAGACATGATCTCACTAAGTTGCTGAGTCTGGCTTTGAATTTAGCAATCCTCTTATCTTTGCCTCTCAAGCTGCTGGGATTACAGTTGTGTGCCACTGTGCCTGGCCTCCATGAACTTTTATAAAAGAAACTGTGTATCACTGCATTAACCAATTGCATTGGTAGGAACATCAGTTTGGTGGGGCACAGAAGAAAAAAAATAAAATTTCTTCTGTATGTCTGCTATTGCATTCTGGGCTTTGGTAGATTTTGGAGACGTCTGGTAAGGTCAGTGATATATTCTGAGAAGTTTTGAGATTGTGGTGTGATACAGAAATTCAGATGATTGGCTATTGAAGAGCTTAGGATTAGCCCAAGATAATGTTTGCTCTCCATACAGAACCCTGCCTTTCCACCCTCATGGTGGTCTAGTTAGGCAAAGTCAAGTACTCTGAAGGTTCTTTGATGGAGATGCAACTGTATAGAGAACTTGAGTTCACAGCTGTAAAAATCTTGTGCTTTTTCTTTTATCTTCCTTAGGTGTAGACACCATGTCAGATTTCTTGGGCAGAGGTTCCCTTTGGGCACGTCCCAGAGTCCCATGTCCTCAGCCACTATCCTCTCCTGGAGCTGCCACAGAGTGCCCACAGCTGCCCTGTGCCTTGCAGGGTGAACAGAATTTCAGGCCCTGGGTCAGCTCCTCCTAGAGGACAGCCTGAGGTGTGGGGTGCAGCCTCTCAGGGAAGCTGCTGGGGGCCCTGGGCTGAGGAATCTCCTGGAAAAGGCCTCATCTAAACAGCTACTTCCTTGGGACCTAGTTTTCCCCAAGCTCTGTTCCCATTCCTTGGAGACAGGTGGACAGTCAGCCTGTGGATGCGGGTGCTGAGGGGCCAGGTCAGCAGTGACTCCTGCCCTTTCAGTCTCTCACAGTGTGAAGGAGCAAATCCTCTCCCAGAACATAAGGACCACCCACCCCAGGGCAGAGCTGTGCAGACCTGAAAAGCCTCATAGACTGGAGTCATGGTCCAGGTGCCTGGGAGGGTGATCCTGGATGCTTTTTCCATGAGCAAGACCAGGAGGTATCATGTCCCAGCTGTCAGGGACCTTCCCTGCCCCTTGAGCCTGACACATCTGTGCTCTCTCAACACCAAAGCTTTCTGTGTATCACTTTGAAATGATGTGCTCACTTATCTGAGGCCCAGGTTTATTTATTCAGAACCAAATGGGATGGAATATTATTAAAGAGGCAAGAGAGATGTGGGTTAAAATCTACCTTTTTTTTGTTGTTTTGTAAAAAATCCCAGCTTACAGCCAGATACAATGGTGCACACCTGTGATCCTTCCTGCTCCAGAGGCTGAGACAGGAGTGTTGCAAATTTGAGGACAGCCTTAGCAACATAGCGTGGCCTTTTGCAACCTGGTGAGACTGTGTCTCAAAATAAAATATAAAAATGACTGGGGATGTGGCTCAGTAGTAAAATATCTCTGGGTTTAATCTCGGGGGCATCAAACAAAAAAGAAAAAAGAAAAAAAGGAAAAGAAAACACCTAATTACCTAATTTACCTTTGCTACCCCTGAGTATGTATAGAAAGTTTGTAAGATTCAGATTTGTCTTTTCAGTGGTTTGAAATTGAAATCCAACCCTAGATTCCAAAATACCACGTAAGATACAGAGAAACTCTGTCTTGCATTATTGCTGCAGAATTTGAGTCCAATTCTACAAAAATAGTGTTGCATAAATTTATGAATGTGATTTCATGAAAACTAGTATCTGTCCTTCACAAGGTGATGATTTTGACAAAGGATGGCAGTTTTTCACCGTTGTTGTCTGAACTTGGCAGGTTCATGTTAACTGTGTGTTTTTTTGTTATCAGGAATGGAACCCTGAGGTGCTTAACCACCAGCCCCTTTTAAATTCTTTATTTTGAGACAGAGTCTTGTTACATCATCTAGGGCCGCTGGGGTTACAGGTGTGCACCATCACACGGGTCTTCATTGTAAATTTTAAGGACAATTTTGGCAATACCTTGAATACCCAACTGTAATCATTTAATCACTGAATATCAGTGAAAGAGTAAATGACACCTGTTTTCTGCAAAGGAGAGATCCTTGTGTCTAAATAAGGGTGTTGATCCCCTCACAATGTCACCTAATTCCTGTTCCCTCCCAACTGCCTCCTTGTAGGGCCACGCCTTTGGGAGCTAGCCTTTTAGCTTATGAAACTTGGGAGTAACATAAATGCTCTCTCTATTCTCTCTGTCCTGTACAACATTTTGGCTGGTCTTAGATATAGTGTACTGTTTCCAGTTTTTTGAAAAGTATTTTTTGTTGTTGCTGTATTTGGACACAATGCCTATTTATTTATTTTTATGTGGTGCTGAGGATCAAACCTAGGGTCTCTCATGTGCTAGGCAAGCACTCTACTGCTGAGCCAGAATCCCAACCCTCCTATTTCCATTTTTAGATGTAGTTTTTCTTAAGTTTACCTCCAAAATACAACAAACCATGCCCTAAATTTTACAGAATTTGCTGAAATGCTCAGTGTTTTTTGAGAGAGTTTAGATCATGGGAACATTCAGTCTTCTTTGTGAGAAAGTGTGGTGTCTTTCCACTGATTTTGTGTGGTTTTATGCCTCTAATTGTGTACCTTTTGTATTATAATCATTTTTATCTCTCATTACATGTATTTTACCAAGCTACTCTCCAGCCCAAGAGAATTAGTATTGTAGACTGTTGTTTATTTATTTGCTTACTTATTGAG